ATACTAACTATCAAACACTCTAGATTAGAGCCTACTTAATTGTTCACTCAACTAACCTGCTAGTTCAGACCCAATCTAACACTCTAGAGCTCACTCAACCTGCTAGTTTAAAGCCCATCCAACCTATTAGATTAGGGCCTCCAACCCAACCCATTAGTTTAGAGCCAACCCAACTCTGGTTTAGAACCCACCCAACCCAACTCATTAGTTTAGAGCCAACCCATTCCAATCCATTAGTTACTCAATCTGTTAGTTTAAAGCTTACCTATCTATTAGCTATTGTATGGCAGAATAGACTTAGATTAAATAAACCTAAGTTGTAGAATTTTAAATTTTAAAGTTGTTAAAAGAATCTAAATATAATTTACAATAAAACTAAATATATAATTTTAAATTATTTTATTAAGTATATATGTTGTTTTAGAATTTAAGTCCTTTAAGATTTATTTATAACGCACTTAAATAGTTTTTAATTCTATCATAAAATTCATGTGGGCGAAAGTCTTCAGTTAAAACATGATAATTAGGTCACAAATATGTACAAAATTTATAATTACGATACAAATTTACAAATTTATAAGTAAATTCATAAGTGATTCAATCTTTGATCAAAAAAATACTTTTATTTACAATAATCATACCATACCACATAAATTATTGGCTCAAATTTTATTTAATCTAATCACTCACCACGAAATTGGAGATTTCATCCATATATTATTGTGGGTTGCAAAATTGTGTAACCCCTATTTATGATTAAATGATTGTGATTGTGATTATGATTGCTAAAGCCAGCCAATTTATCATGAATCTGAGTCTCAGATTTATGATAAATTAGCCAGCTTTAGCAATCACAATCATAATTATTTAATCATAATATACAAACTGCAATAATTAACCAGAATTGAATAAATTAACTAGGTAAGTTATCATTTTGATGAAGCAGACTACTTTTAGTGTTTAAAATTCGTATTTTACGCAATAAATTTTTAACAAATCGCGATTTGAATATCTGATCACCATTGCAGAAGCTGCTTAAGAATGTTCTAACTGGTGCTTTAATGCCATACTACTATAAGAAAAACATATATATATTTTTAGCTTTGCTGAATAATAATTATTCATTTTTGTATTACATGCTTATGCCTTGATACAATAATAATTCATCATGTATGCACCTAAAACAAGCCATTCAGGTGGGTGTGAACTTGTATAGAATGCATCTACTAATGCTTTCCTTTATTTAGTTAACAATAAAACTACTAGATCTAAAAAGGTTAGTATAATATTCTCGTAAAATGCATCTATTAATGTTTTTTTCTTTTTCTGATCAAAGATTATTATTACAGAGATTCAAAAGAATCAGTGTGATGTTCTTGAAAGTGCATTTGTCAATATGTTTCCTCCTTCTGATCTAAGGTTATTCTAAAAAAAATCAGTATGGTGTTGTTACTAAGTATATCCATAAATGCTTTTACTCTTTATGATACGAAATTGCTAGATCAAAAATTCTGTACTAAAGCCAAGCATGAAGAAGTCAGCATAGCACTCTAACTTTTAACCCAAAATTATTATTACTTTTAAATTTGGCTGCAGTTCTTGAAAATGCAGCCACTAATACATTTCCTTCTAATTTAAAGTATTATTATAAAGATTCGAAGAAGTCAGCGTAGTGTTTATACAAAATGTGCCTGTTAATTTTTTCTAAATGACCAAGCTTAAATTTTTAAATAAATAATAAAAAAAGGACAAAAAAAAATAAAGAAAATTAAAACATAAATTTTCAATTACCGGCTAAATTGAAATATGAAAGTAATTGCACAAGTATATGTTAAGTCGCTATAAATACTATTTTTCTAACTAATCTCTAAATGCACACTGCTAAAAGGTTTGTTTTAGTAAATTGTACTTAAAAAAAGTCGACTGTATGATGAACAAATTAAATAATTTTTATACTTGCCTGCTGTGACAAATAAAATGAATTTGATTTTTATAATTACTAACTAAATGAATTAGAATGAAGTCACAGTAAATATAATACGAACCTGAAATAATAACTCTTGTTGCACAGTCTTCCAGTACTCTGCCATGATTCTAGATTCATATTCAGAAAACCTGGCTTTAATGAAAATTACCTGTATTAGTTTATATAATAAAAAAAATTTTACAAACAAAATTTTAAGTTTATATTGTTAGTGATTGTGATGCATATTACTGAATGGCACCTATATTCAGTAGATCTTAAATACTAGTGACAGTTTAAAAGCTACGTTTTACAAATTCCTGTTACTCAAAGGCCTAAAAGAAAAAATATTTATAAATTTGGTTATAGGGCAAGCTAAAATTAAAATACACCAAATACCTTGTTTGAATTCTATAGATCTAATTTATTAAAATATTACTTAGTAAATGCCATGTGCTTACAAAGTAAAGTCTGCCAAAAAAAGTATTGTTACTTAATAACTTTATAATTAAAAATTAGAGGTTCTATTTTATTATTTGTGTTACTTTAATGTAAGATTTAATAAAAAATTTATTGACCTTACTTATAACCTGAAAATTTTAATTCGGGTCTTGCTTATATGTGATCTGTGTTATATTACTATATCAAAATTCTTCAATTAACTGGCAGATCATCAATTAATAATAACTTACATGGAAAGTAAGACCAGTTTTCAAAATACTCTTCTGGTTTGAACGCTAAATAACTTAGGAAGTTCATGAAAGAAAAAAAGGTTTAGCCTTAAAAAAGCTACCTAAATATATCTGCTTCTTGATATTTCACATCTTTAGGTTTTATCAACAATTGTTTACTTTAAGATAGGACTAAGAAGTATCTATCTTGAACATTTCTATATCATTTTTCTGTAGTCCAATTTTTCTGTTGTTTTTAACTAAAGAATCAATAAAAAGAGTTGTATAATTAATTTTTTTAATATTTTTTTAATTTTGATTTATTTTATTTTTTTTTTAGCTAAATTAGAAATAAATATAACTACTATATTTAATTATAGTTAGGTTTATAGATACTAGCTAATAATTAAAATGCTTAAGTTCTTAATAAGTTAAAGATATAAAAAAAAATCAAAATCTATTGAAACAGGTTAAAATTAATAAAAACTATAAAAAAAATTTTACATAATTTGAATATCAAATAAAGAGAACCAAATTACAAAAAAAAATAATACTAAAGACAAAAGATGATAGTCTAAATCTACCTCAGGTAAATTAATCAAAAATGCTGAACAATTTGCTTAATACTGTCTAAATGTATACTGCATACTATCTAAATGTATAATTTTTTAAAAAAATTTAATAGTAATATGCATTTAGACAGTTAATTTTCTGATATCTGATTGGTTAATACTGTATAAATGCATAAAATTGATTTTTTTGTCTTTCCCGACCATATGCATTTAAACAGTATCGACTGTATATAACTAACTCCAACCCTAAAGTTAATCTATAAAACATAAGTATCCGTCCCCTATATTTGGGGAATAGCTAAAGCCAGATACATTACGAGATTACCTATTTTTACGACTTTTTATTTAAAATCGATTAATATTGGGTTGGGTTAAGTAGTTTATACTTTACTTAGTGAACCAAGACCGGTTTAGATAACCATTTTTTATTTTCGTGTTTTGTCTGTCGTCTCGCTTTTTGTTCGGGCTGATCCGGGTAATATATCGGGCAATCACGTGATGCACCCAGCCTAAAAATTCTGACCGTCGGAATTTTTGACTGTCGGGATTTTTTTATCTGGATTATGACCTGTTTGCGATACCCTTAATAAATCAGCATATCGATATATTTACTACGTATAATCTATTGATTTTTTCTTTGTAAAATTGTAGTTACACGAATTTGCAGTGTATGTATAAACTTTGAAAATTTCTTGTTAATAAATTAAAAAAATTAATTTATTTAATATTAGTATATAGAATTAATATTCACCGGAAATGAAATTTACCACATTGGTCCCTCAGAATTATTATTATATGGGTGCCGCTAAAGTGAAAACCAGGATTTTTAAAAATAAATTTCTTTAGACAATGGAATACGGATTTTAAATGGTATTACGTGACCAAAAAACGGAATCGGTATAATTTATGATTCTAGTCGGATTGACTAAAAGCCCGCATTCCGTCATATAATGAAGTTTATTTTTAGAATTCCTGGTTTTCACTTGATTGCATCATACGTATCGGTATATGAGCTATAGAAAAATTTTATAAAGCTAAAATTAATTAAACTTAACAATTAAAGGTTAAAGCTTAATTAATGTAGAGGTTAGGTTGCTGAACATTTTTATTTAGTATATATATCAAATTGATTGTCAAAGCCATTTTGAGAAACAACATTCTTGGTGAATTTCACCTCCAGTGAACTTTAAAATCGTCTTGAAAAAAAAAGGATTCTATTAAGTTATTTAAATTAAATTTTTATATATCGATATGTATACAAAAGATAAATTCAATAATATACAGTGTTATATTTTAAAATTCGACCCGTTATTTCCTCACATTATTAAAATTTATTAAATTTTATTACGTATAATGAGAAAAACAAATATATACACACCAAATATGGGGCGTGAAAGTATATTAAATTTGATTGGCCGATGCAGAAGTTATTTGGATATTCTTTCATACATTTAATCCCCAGCGCTGCGAATTCCCCAGGGTTACGATTTAACCCGCGACACCATGTTTCCTCTTAGTGATGTTGAAGGCTCGAAGTCTTTCCTTTTTAGCATACTCATGATTATAGTTTCGGAGATAGGAGACAAGACATTTTTTATTGCTGCCATAATGGCAATGAAAAATTCTAGGCTTTTAGTTTTTTCGGCAGCTTTTAGTGCTGTAGCACTCATGTCAGTCCTTTCCGTAGCTCTAGGTCATGTAGTCCCAAATTTGATTCCACGTATATATACCAACTATATAGCATCATTTTTATTCCTATTTTTTGGAATAAAGATGGGATTTGAGAGCATACAAATGTCGGGTGAAGAAGCAATGCAAGAATTAGAGGAGGTTTCAGTTGAATTAAAAGAAAAGGAAGAAATTGAACTTATAGAAACAGCGGAAGCTGGTGGTACACAAGACGATACCGCCCAAGTAACATTTGTAGAAGGATTAGTTAATCTATGCCAATTGTTATTTTCGCCTGTTTTCGTCCAAACATTTATACTCACGTTCCTGGCAGAATGGGGAGATAGATCACAAATTGCAACAATTGCCATGGCTGCTGCAAAGGTAAAATAATAAATTTAATTTTCAAATATCTTTCAAAGAAATAGTATATCTTTCAAAGAAACAGACATTTCAATTATTTACGAACTTTAATCATTTAGGATGTGTATTGGGTAACCTTGGGTACAATAATTGGACACTGTCTTTGTACAGGTCTTGCTGTAATTGGAGGTAGGTTTATGGCAGCAAAGATCTCAGTAAAAAAAGGTAAATTTTATTTTAGAATACTGCTATATCGATGATTAAGTTGTTAATTTCCTAATCTAATGTTATACTCTCATTATGCTTTAAAGTTACTATGGTTGGGGCTATTCTTTTTATGTCGTTTTCACTAGTGTATTTATACGAAAGCATATATAGTGATGATTCATCAAATCGGTTATGAAGCTGGACATTTTTCGCTTATGAAACAAGACATTCTTAGCGCCATAATGCTTTCCTTATAACCAAATTATGACTCTATTACTCAAATTTTATGTACCTTTGAATGCGTGTTTCATAATCCGTACGATGATGCAAATAACGGGAGTTTTTTCATTATAATATTGTATAGACATTTATTTGGATGGGTTTCAATTGAGTATTTTTTTATAGTACATATATATATATATATATATATATATAAATTTATAACTTTGTAATAAAGGTCGCCTTATTTTTGGCTAGGGTAATATTATTTTTAATTACGCACAATATCTTTTTTGAAAACGAATTATTAGATATGAGAATAATGTGATTAGATGGATGTGTAAATAATTAAGGTGTATTAGACATGTTAAAATTAGCATCAAAGTGCAGAACGTCATGATTTATTGTAAAGTACTATACATGCTTTATCTAAATTTACGAAAAGAAATGTGGCACTTGGACTACGCATACTATAGTGACAGATATTGACAGATATTGCCCGCATTAAGCACTGAAATTGTTCATAAAATTCATGAAGCATATGAATTGCCTAAAAAAAAAAAAAAATCCTATCTAGCCTTTCTTGCAACCTTGAACGCCTTGTTTACCTTTGCCAGTTAAATAGCCATGTTTCTTCCATCTATTCAATCTTTTCTCCGTGACTTTCTCCCATTTCAATTTCTTTATTTGATTCTTACTCATAAGCGTATCTTTGTCTGAATCATCATTCGTAAAATACGCTTTTAAACCTTCAGGTGATACGTCATCTAACGTATACCTACCATACTTACCATTTCTATACTGTTTAATGAAAAATTGTGCTGATTTATTTAGATCATATTCACCATGCTTTTGTAATGCACCAATACGTTTCGAAATTTCAGGAAGTAGAACTTCGATCGAGTCTGTCGGATGTGAAAGTTTGAATTTTTCAACGTAACTTTTTAATTTGACACGATTAGCATATGAATAAACGTTATATATGATGAAATCATAACATTTTAAATGATGTAAATACCTAAAGTTTCCAAAATTATTTAACCTCCAAAGTAAATAGTCTGCCATAATT